AACGAGATTGAGTTACGCCTGTGTGAATTTTGAGTGAACTCATTCAAAGCTACATATAAACAGGATGCGATGGGTAATTTTTCGCCCTTTTATATTTTTAATTTCGAGCATCCGCATTGTTTGTTTTTGATTTTGTCGACGGTACAGTAGAGTACGTTCAGAAATTCACTCTGCCAGAAATTTGGAAATTCTACTGCTTGGCATTCGCGCCGGAAATCAAAGAGTCAAAGGATTCGGAAAGACTGGGATGATATATCCAGTCAACATCATGGTGCTTGGAGTGATCATTAACAATGACTACATTATGCCTCCATTCGTCTTCCCACAGGGTCTCAGACTCAACACGGAAGCCTACATCAAGTCCCTTGAGGAAGTAGTGTTGCTCTTGGCCAAGAGAGTGGCTGCTGAAAGACCCTACCTCTGGCAACAGGACTCTGAATCATGCCACATAGGTAGAAGTACCCAGTCATGGATGTCAGATAATTTCTGCGACTAAATTACCCCTTACATCTGTCCACACCAGACTCAGACTCCCAAGATTATTATGTGTGGAGAGCAGTTGAGCGAAGACCAACAAAACTCCTTGTAACACCAAAAATGAACTGAAGGCAACTATTATGGCATCATTCACCACCATAAACAAGGAGACTGTCCCGAAGAGTTGTAGATATTATGAAGTCGTCTGGAGGCTGTGGTTGAAGCTAATGGCGATTTTATTGAATAAATTTAATCTTTAGTATTTCAAGATATTTTTATAATTTTGGTAACTATATCTCTTAAAATATAAAATGAGATGTCAGCGTTATTTTCATTTTTGCGTAATATAAACGACAATTTATCTAGTAAACTGGAAGTTGTTCGGGATTGGACTATAAAATGCCAGACGATTACAACTAGCCGTACATTACCCGCATTATGAGAACAGTTGTAGCTGACGGATGACACACAATTCGATATGCGATGAATATCGGCTGGGTCTCCGTAGAGAGTGATTATAATGTTGAAAAACCAAAAATCACATATTATCCTCGGCAAAAAAAACATCACTGATAATATGGGTGGTAACATATGTTAGGGAAATAGTTAACCTCCCAAACTGGGGTCAAACAACTATGAAATTATAAAAAATAGATTTTAATACTAGCAATATATTTTTTGAAAAAAAATATTGCCAGCAATACATTTTTGGAAAAATAAAAAATTGCCAGCAATAAAAATTTTGTTGGCATTAAATAACCCATTAAGGTTGATATGCCGTGAAACAAACCAAACCAAACCATTTCTTTAAAGCAAGGTATGACTACAACCTTAAAATCATTGAACACATCCACACGAGATTGTGGTAACACATATTTCATGTCAGTGCGCAATCTGCAGCGAGCGGTGAAAACGGTCAATAGATGAGTAAAAGTTTATTTATCCTTAATGCTTTTGAAATATGATGCACAGTGTTGCCTTCACAATTTGACAGGATTGGCATAAATCAGGAATTATGTTGACCAATATCTATTTCCAATCCCTTCAAGAAAATTAATGTTTATTTACCCTAATATTATTCTCCACAACTTTCTGACCTTTATCCGCACTAAGATTACCTTTTTGTTTAACTACTCACATATGCTAAACGGAGTCAAACAGGATGTCAGATGTGTGCAAAATTTTCCAGAAAAAATGAATTTAATCGAGATTTAGCTTTCAAAATGTCTAACACACTTAATATTAGTGCATTCTAAAGTTTTGCCTGACAAGATATAAAAACAATTTACAGGTATCCCTCGATTAATGCGCATTCGATATATACGCTTTCGATTAGTGCGCTAAAATTGTTATATACCAAAAAATTCCATTAGTGCATGTATAATACTCGATTAGTGCGGTAAAACAATCTTCAGTTTAACCATAATAATTGAGAATTTATTTTTTTTTATAGTTACAGATATACGCATTAGCTGCATTTTATTTAAATATTAAGATGTTCAGAAAGTAAGGCTTTCCAGAAAAGGATATAAAAATAAAGGTAATTTAAATTTACCTTAATATTAGGGTGTTTATAATTATTAGGGTGTTCATAAATATTAGGGTGTTCATAAAATAATTACGTTCTATTAGAAGTTAAATAATAAAATGTCATTAAAATTTATTTAGCCATTACAGTTTTCGTAAAATTTTTATTTATTTTTAAGGTGTTAACAGAAAGGATATGGAACAAAAGTAATTTAAATTTATTAAATACATTTTTATCAAAAATGCGATCATCTTCAGTATCTGTCAGAAAAAGGCGATAATACCAACAAAAATTGCAATATAAGCTCTGGTAAAAAACATGATATGATAACAGGAAAAATTGCAATATCAGGACTGATAAAAAATGGTTGCTGGTGACATTAGGTTTATTATACCCAGAAATTCATACACAGATGTCCTCAAGGACACATGACACTGTGGTTTACTTGGTTAGATCCAGTGACAGGTCCCAAAGAGTGTGAGTTTAATACCCGGTTTGGGCAGTGGAGAACTTGGAGAGAGGAATTAACAGGAGATCACTTAAACATGGCACGTGAAACTAGAACAGTCTACCCCAGTGAGCGAAATAAAGGGTCCAGTTCGACATTCCAACTACCTGAAGAAGGCCGGATATTGACGGAGCGTACAATGGTCGAAACGTTGTGATAAATACAGCGACAAAGATGAGGACAATAGTCATTGCCAACAAGTGTTTCTTAATTTCTGGCATTTATATTTTAATTGTCAAAAACATCGTGTTCTTTACTAACGGCCAAATCATGTTGCAACTCATGCTCAGAACTGGAGGCCAATCTTTAATCACGTCGTTGCACGGTGGGTGACTAGATCTCAAGTGGCTACTGAAAGCGAAAGAAACAAAGAGTACAATAAAAAAAAAAACAGAATTCAAGGAGACAATATGACGATTGACGTTGCATTTAAATGTTTGAAGTTGAAAAGCTTGAAACCGGAAGAAAATGTCACAAGTGTTAAATGCGGGAGAAGAAACAGTCGCGATGGTTACATTTAAAAAATTTGAACAGTGAAAATATGAATTTAGTTGCCAATGAAGGACTGAGCTTAAATTCGTTAAGTCGTGTTGCGAAATAGAAAAGTTCATTGGTTGAATAATATTTATAGAAAAAGCTGGGGAGAGCAACGGCGAGATGTTAAGTCAGATCAGATTTCTCAGTATTCTCGCATATCCGACAAAGTGAAGTCGCAATTAGTCCAGGGATTTTCAATTCATCCAATTTATGGGAACAATTCTGATTATATATGACTATATAATTCCCAAATATCGATCGAAGTCCTGGTACTTAAAACCACAATTCTCACTATCCCGTGTTCACTAGTTCAGCCAGATCCCCGAACTGTTAGATAAGGAACCGTTTTTCAAATCAGTATACAGGTATATAGGTACACATTCTATTGACCGTGTAATGGGGCACCTTGAGGCGGTTTCATCGTTAGCAAGCTTGTCTCGTTACGTCTGAGTAATGAGTTCGGTCCTTACTGGGTGACACCTAATTTCAACCATGTCACATCCAAGCTATGCTCGGAAAATCACCATTTACCGTGTAATTTACTGAGCTTAGATTTTAATATTTAACATCTTTCTCTCTGTTTTTTGTACGTTATGCTATTAGCCCTGGCCCACAAACTGGGTGATAATAACGCATTCAACAGTAATCAGTTATGTATAAAATCTCGTTCAATTCAGTAATTGTACAACACATAGAACGAGGGGTAAGACAAGGTTGTGTCTGCTCAACGGACATATTCAACCTATACAGTGAGGAGAGAATAAGAAGCTCTACTAAAATCCGTTATTGGCGGCTACGATCTTGACAGCAAAAGATATGCAAATGATACGGTGATGATAGGAAACTAAAATATCTCCCACAGAACAGAAGGTTATGAAGGAAAGCGAGAGGAAAGGACTAAACATCAATTTAAGGAAGACAGAATGTATCTTCGTTAGCAAAAGTCAAACAATGTCTGTCTATATTTCTGAGATGAGGTATTATGTACACTATTTACATTATCCAGACTATCATCCTCATCTTTATCGTCATATTTATTACTACGTTTCGGTCGTTGTACGCTTCGGCCTTCCTCAGGTGGTTGGAATGTCGAACTGAACCCTTTATTTTGCTCACTGGAGTAGACTGTTCTAGTCCCACGTGCTATGTTTAATGGATATCACTTATCAGTTATCTCCTGTTAATTCACCTCTCCAAGTTCTCCACTGCCTTAACCGGGTATTGAACTCACACACTCTGGGCCCTGTCCTCAAGGATACATGGCACAGTGGATAAAGGTATTGGTTAGATCCAGTGACAAGACCCAAACAGTGTAATAAATATGGCGACAAAGATGAAGACAATAGTCCGAATAATGTAAAGTCAAACAATTATAACAAATTAAATATCTGAGAAGTGTTTTAGCAGAGGACGGAAAGTGCGACACTTAAATCCGAAGGCGCATTCGGATAACGAAATATGACTTCCAAAACCTAAGTAAAGTATAAAGAAAGATGAAAACATTGTTAGTAACAAATAAAATATTACTGAACTATCATGTAGTATCAGTCCGCGTATATTGTAGTGAATGCTGGGCAAAGTCATCAGAGAAGAAAGGACTTGAAACAACAGAAATGTCGTTCGACAGAAGGACGCTAAGAATACCATGGACTGACCAAGTTTTTTACGGAAATAGGAACAAAAAGAAAACTTATACTTAGCACCAGGAGACTGTTGACATTTCTAATGCAAATAAGGGGAAAAGAAGCCTAGTAAAAGAGACTGAAGGCAAGAGGGACAGATTAAAACAACGCATGACCTACGTAGAAAGCTTGACGAAATGCATGGCAGAATAAGGCTTAGGAAAGATCTAAAAAAAGGACTGAGTCATAACCGGCAACGCTCTTAATAGACACGGCTTGTACACGTAGAAGTAGGATAAAAGTTAACAGAGCTCTATATTATGCATGCTTGCGTCCATATCGCGTTGGAACTCTGGTTTTCGTACGATCACCGAGGTTAAGCAACCTAGAGCCAGGTCAGTACCTAAATTGGCGACCACTTTGTAATACCATGTGCTGTAGGCTTGGAGGGTGGATTTTCTAAGCGTCGCATAGACATGGCACAAAGCTGAAAGTATGAACCACAAAATGAGGATCAAAGTAACTACACAGTCGTAATCGATCTAGCGAGACAAGCTTACTGAGCCTTATATCACGTCGAAGGGCCCACTGTCAGCTTGGACGTGCGTATAGCATAATGGTTAACGGTTGGAAATCGGAGAGTCGAGTTCCAATTCCAGTCGGGTTCGTTATATCCATATACTTGGGAAAGGTATGAATCCACCGCTTCTACTCACCAGCTATGGTTTAATTAGTAGAACTTTTACCAAAGTTTGGATTTAGACCTTATGAGGCCCCGGATCCTATAGAATTTGGGGGAACCTTTATTACGTATATCGGAGTGTCTATAAAAAATAGGTGATATTGTTTTGGTGTAAAGCATGAAACACTTCAAGTAAACTTTTCAATAAATACGTATGAAAAAAAGGCATCAACATCTAAATAGGGACCCATCGAATTTAAAAGAATCATTTCAACTAGAGGGGCTCAAATTGTTAGAAATTAGTTCAAAGAAGCCTCAATAAATCTGAAAATAAAAAAATCTCCTCTGTTATTATATCCTTATTTTTTTGTTTTGTTTTATCAGGGACCCAAGGCCACTGAGTTGCAGTCCATATTATCCCATATGCAAATTGTTTCTATCAGTAAATCATTCTTATTGTAAAAAACATTCTTACAATCTAAAAATATTGCCAGCCTTTAAATAGCCTGCAAAAGTGTTGATAAACCGTAAAAAACAAACCAGTCAATCAATAAACCAAACTGGAGTATACAATTATTTTATTAAAATGAATTATCTACAGATGTTTCTGTAATCATTTCACCCAAGGCAATAAAGCCACTAAGACGCAAGGCGTTACCGAGGCTCAATAAATATGAGAGAAAGGAAAGAGAACAATAAAAGAACAGGAATTAAGAAAACAAAAAATAACGATTGGCATCTCTTTTGTGGACATTTAATTATTCCCTTCTTTATATTTCATGTGTTTATCTTTCTTTGTTCCTCTCTTTCTTTCTTTCTTTTTCTTTCTCTCTTTCATTTTTTTCTTTCTTTGTAACTATACTTCTTTTTTCGTGAAAAATTAATTATTCACCTTTTTGTATTTTTGTTGTTTATTTTCTTTCTTCATTTCTCGTTTCCTTTCTTACTTTTTCTTTCTTTCTTTCCTTCGTTCGTTTATTTTTTTTCTTTCTTTCTAACCATTACTCCGTTTCGTACATATTGAATAATTCGCCTTTTTTTCCGTTTTAATCTTTCTAACCATTTCTTTCCGTTTCTTTACATCTTTGAATAATTTTCTTTCTTTGTTGATTTTCGAAAACAATTAATTAGTTTCTTTTATTTCGGTTATTTAACTTAATTTCCCTTTTGTTTTTCTTTCTTTCTTTCTTTCTTTCATACAATTTTCTTTCTTTGTGACGAGTTTTCTTTTTCGAAAACAATTAATTATTCTCCTCTTTCTATTTCGGTTATTTAACTTAATTTCCCTTTTGTTTCTTTCTTTCTTTCTTTCTTTCTTACCATTACTCAGTTTCGTAAATATTGAATTATCCCCCTCTTTATATTTCCCCTATTAATCTTTCATTCCTCCACTCTTTCGTGCTTTCTTTCTTTCATTCATTTTTTTTCGTTCTTTCTTTGGGATGATTTTTTCGTTTCGTGAACAATTAATTATTCTTCCCTTATATATTTCTGTTATTCACTTTACTTTCTTTCTTTATCTCTTTCTTTCTTTCTTTTCTTTCTTTTTTTTTTTTTTTTGACGTTCTTCCGTTTTGTACAAATTGAATTATTCTCCTCCTCTACTTTTCTGTCTTTCGTTTTATATTTTCTTTCTTTTGTTCTTTCGTTCTTTCTTTCCGACATTTCTTTCGTTTCATGGACATTTAATTATTCTCCTCATTATATTTCCGCTTTTCATCATTCTTTCTTTCATTAATTCTTTCTTTCTGTCCATTCCTCTAATATACACATATATGCACATGTGTGTGTGTGTATTTGTGCGTGCTTGCGTGTGTATGTGTGTGTGAGAGTGTGAGAGAGAGAGAGAAAGAGCGAGAGAGAGAGAGTATAGTTATGTACGTATACAGGCATGAATTAATTACAAACAGTTAACTCCTTTACTAAGTATTACATATATATATATATATATATATATATATATATATATATATATATATATATATATATATATATATATGTTCATTTTACCAACGCAAAGAATTGAATCTTCTCATTATTTCTTTGTTTCTGTTGGTGTTTTTTCGGCCTCAAGCAACAAGTACTTAGCTTTCTATATCATTTCGTTCCATGTACGCTTTTACACCCACAGGACACATTGGGCCCGTAATTTTCTATGGAATTAAGAGCAATCTACCATATAAGACATAAAAGATACCAATTTACTGCATAATACAGCAGCCTTTTACTTTCTCTCACTCTTTTTCGAAATAGTCGCACTAGCCTTGGCCAACTGCGTAGTTAGATGCAGATAACAATGCCAGTTGCAACGGTAGATGCAGCTGTTGGTAGTCAAGTGCTTGTATACCAAAACTCACTGCATAGCGGTTCTGTGGGCGGCCCTATCATGAAATGAGTTCCTTCGATTGCACCCGGCACATCAATTCGATTCCTTTGCTTGTCACTTTCTTTCTTTCTTTCTTTCTTTCTTTCTTTCTATGTTTCCTTCTCTGGTTTTACCTTCTTTTTCTTTTTCATTTCATTTTACGCCTTTTTTCTTTCTAATTTTTCTTCCTTTCATTTCTTTCTTTCATTTCTTTCTTATTTTTTCTGTTTTATTTTCTTTCTTTTTTCTTTCTTTCTTTTCTTTTCTATCATATTGTCTTTCTTTTTTCTTATCCACTTCCTTTCTTTCATTCATTCTTTTTCTTAACCTTTCTTCCATTTGTTTATTTTCTTTACTGTTTTTTTTCTTTGTTTTTTTTAATTTTATCCATTTTTTTTTTAGATATTTGATTTCTTTTTCTTTCTTTCTTTTTCATAATCTATTTACATTCTTTCTACAAAATACAAACCAATTACATCACTTGAATAAAGACTAACGGACTAGGAATGTTGATGTGCTCCTGTATCTTGTCACGTGATCACCTCCTTTTCTTCCTCTTTTTCATTCTGCTTTTTATACTTCTTTTCACCCTCCTTTTCACCATCGTTTTCATCCTTTTCACCATTCTTTTTATCCAAATTTTCAACCTCTTTTTCATCATCTTTTTCATCATTCTTTTGAATCTCCTTTTTATCCTCCTTATCATTTTCCTATTAATCCTCTTTTTCACACTCCTTTTCACCATCTTTTCATTCTCCTTTTAACCATTCTTTTTCATACTCTTTTTAATTCTCCTTTTCATTCTCCTTTTGATCCTTCTTTTAACATTCGTTTTCTCCCTGCTTTTCATTCTACTTTTCATCCTCGATTTCATTCTCCTTTTCGATCTGCTTTTTCAGCGTTTCATCTTTCATTTCATCTTTCTGTACATCGACTTTTTTCATTCTTCTTTTCATTTTCATTTTATCTTCCTTTCATCCACCTTTTCACCTCCCCTTCTCATTTTGCTTTTCATTCTCCTTTCATAATTCTTTTCACCCTCCTTTTCATTCTCATTTCATTCTCCTTTTCATGCTTCTTATCATTCACCTTTCAACCTCTTTTTCATCCACTTTTTCATTGATCGTTTACAATCCGTTTCATCCACTTTTCATCCTTCTTTTCATTCCCATTTTCCCTCTGCTTTTCATCCTTTTTTTCACCCCGTATTCACCTTTTCATTCTACTTTTCAACCCCCTTTTCATTCTTCTTTTCGATCTGGATTTCATCCTTCTTTTCATTCTCCTTTTTCATTCTCCTTTCCATTCTCCTTTTTCATTTTCATTCTCTTTATCAACCTGTTTTTCATCCTCCTTTTCATTTTTTTCGTCATCTTCCTTTTCCTTCTCCTTTTCATCTTTTTCATCTTCCTTTCCACCCTCTTTTGACCATCGTTTTCATTTTCTTTTTTATCCTGATTTTCATCCCCCTCTTCATCCTCCTTTTCATTCTCCTTTTCCATTTTCATTTTTATTCTCCTTTTAATCTTCTTTTCACCATTCTTTTCCTTCTTTTTTCGTCATCTTATTTTTCCTTCTCCTTTTCATCCTCTTTTTCATCTTCCTTTACACACTCCTTTTTACCATCCTTTTCATTCTTTTTTTCATCCTCCTTTTCTTTCTTCTTATTTTCATCCTACATTTCCTTTTCCTTTCGTTCGCCTTTTCACATTGCTTTTCATTCTCTTTTCATCGTCCTTTGCATCCTTTCTTAATTCCTCTTGTCATCTTCCTTTCACCCTACTTTTCATCTTCCATTTCACTGTCTTTTTCATTCTCCTTTTCATTCTCCTTTTCATCATTCTTTTGAATCTCCTTTTTATCCTTCATATCATTTTCCTTTCCATCCCCTATTTTATTCTTCTTTTTATTCTTCTTTTCATCCTTGTTTCATTTTCCTTTCCGTCCCCTTTTCATTCTGCTTTTTATCCTTCTTTTCATCGTGCTTTTTATTATCATTTTCATCGTTCTTTGGATCCTCTTTTCACCATCGTTTTCATCCTCTTTTTAATTCTCCTTTTTCATTCTTCTTTTCATACTTCTTTTCATCCTTGTTTTTATTCGCATTTTCACCCTCGTTTTCACTCTCCTTTTCACTCTCCTTTTCATTTTTCTTTTCATCTTCCTTTCATAATTCTTTTCATCCTTTTTCTTAATCGTACTTTTCTTTCTCCTTTTCCTTCTCCTTTTCTTTCTCCTTTTCCTTCTCCTTTTCGTCCTATTTTTTATCTCCTTTGTAACCATCCTTTTCAACACCCTTTTCATTATTTATTTCAGCCTACTTTTCATCCTCCTTTTCAATCTCGTTTTCAACTTTCTTTTCATCCTTATTTTCATATTCCTTTACATCCTCCTTTTTATTCTCCTATTCAACATAATATTCATTCATTATTTCATCCTTCTTTTCTTACTCCTTTTCCTTTTCCTTTCATCCTCCTTATCGCCCTGATTTTCATTCTCATTTTCATCTTCCTTTTCATCTTCCTTTCATTCATTTTTTCGTCGTCCTTTTCACCGTGCTTTTCATCCTTCTTTCATACTCCTTTCATCATTTTTTGCATTCTCCATTTCATTCCCGTATGCATTCTTCTTTTTCATTCTTTTTTCATTCAATTAGTCATGTTCCTTTCATCCTCCTTCTGTTTTCCGCCTTTCATTCTCCTTGTCCTCTTGCTTTCATCCTAATGTTCATCCACTTCTTCATTCTTCTTCTCTTCTCGCTCCGTTTCATGCTTCTTTTCATTCTCCTTTTCAACCACCTTTCATACTTCTTGCATTCACCTTTTCATCCTCTTTTTCATTCTCTTTTCCCTCCTACTTTTCATCCTCTTTTTCATTCTCTTTTCCACCCTTCTTTTCATCCTCTTTTTCATTCTCTTTTCCCTCCTACTTTTCATCCTCTTTTTCATTCTCTTTTCCACCCTTCTTTTCATCCTCTTTTTCATTCTCTTTTCCCTCCTACTTTTCATCCTCTTTTTCATTCTCTTTTCCACCCTTCTTTTCATCCTCTTTTTCATTCTCTTTTCCCTCCTACTTTTCATCCTCTTTTTCATTCTCTTTTCCACCCTTCTTTTCATCCTCTTTTTCATTCTCTTTTCCCTCCTACTTTTCATCCTCTTTTTTCATTCTCTTTTCCACCCTTCTTTTCATCCTCTTTTTCATTCTCTTTCCCTCCTACTTTTCATCCTCTTTTTCATTCTCTTTTCCACCCTTCTTTTCATCCTCTTTTTCATTCTCTTTTCCCTCCTACTTTTCATCCTTTTTTCATTCTCTTTTCCACCCTTCTTTTCATCCTCTTTTTCATTCTCTTTTCCTCCTACTTTTCATCCTCTTTTTCATTCTCTTTTCCACCCTTCTTTTCATCCTCTTTTTTCATTCTCTTTTCCTCCTACTTTTCATCCTCTTTTTCATTCTCTTTTCCACCCTTCTTTTCATCCTCTTTTTCATTCTCTTTTCCTTCTACTTTTCATCCTTTTTTTCATTCTCTTTTCCACCCTTCTTTTCATCCTCTTTTTCATTCTCTTTTCCTCCTACTTTTCATCCTCTTTTTCATTCTCTTTTCCACCCTTCTTTTCATCCTCTTTTTTCATTCTCTTTTCCCTCCTACTTTTCATCCTCTTTTTCATTCTCTTTTCCACCCTTCTTTTCATCCTCTTTTCATTCTCTTTTCCCTTCTACTTTTCATCCTCTTTTTCATTCTCTTTTCCACCCTTCTTTTCATCCTCTTTTTTCATTCTCTTTTCCCTCCTACTTTTCATCCTCTTTTTCATTCTCTTTTCCCCTTCTTTTCATCCTCTTTTCATTCTCTTTTCCTCCCTACTTTTCATCCTCTTTTCATTCTCTTTTCCACCCTTCTTTTTCATCCTCTTTTCATTCTCTTTTCCTCCTACTTTTCATCCTCTTTTTCATTCTCTTTTCCACCCTTCTTTTCATCCTCTTTTTTCATTCTCTTTTCCCTTCTACTTTTCATCCTCTTTTTCATTCTCTTTTCCCACCCTTCTTTTCATCCTCTTTTTCATTCTCTTTTCCTCCTACTTTTCATCCTCTTTTTCATTCTCTTTTCCACCCTTCTTTTCATCCTCTTTTTTCATTCTCTTTTCCCTCCTACTTTTCATCCTCTTTTTTCATTCTCTTTTTCCACCCTTCTTTTCATCCTCTTTTTCATTCTCTTTTCCCTCCTACTTTTCATCCTCTTTTTCATTCTCTTTTCCACCCTTCTTTTCATCCTCTTTTTCATTCTCCTTTTAATTCTCTTTTTTATTCTTTTTTCATTCTCCTTTTCATCCTCCTTTTCCTTTTCTTTTACATCCTTCTTTTTCATTCCCTTTTTCATCCTCCTTTTCATTCTCCTTTTCATCTTCCTTTTAATTCTCTTTTTTCATCCTTCTGTTCATTCTCCTTTACATTCTCTTTTTCATCCTCATTTTGATTCCCCTTTTAGTTCACTTTTTCATCCCACTTTTCATTCTCTTTTTCATTCTCCTTTTCATCCACCTTTTCATTCTCTTTTACGTCCTTCTTTTCATCCTCTTTTTCATTCCCTTTTTCATTCTCCTTTTCATTCTCCTTTTTTCATCCCCCTCCTTTTCATTCTCCTCTCATTCTCCTTTTCATACTCCTTTTCATTATCTTTTTCATTCTCCTTTCATCCTCCTTTTCATTCTCTTTTTCATTCTCCTCTTTTCATCCTTCTGTTCACCCTCCTTTACATTCAATTTTTCATCCTCCTTTTCATCCTCCTTTTCATCCTCCTTTTCATTCTCCTTTTTTCATCCTTCTGTTCACCCTCCTTTACATTCTCTTTTTCATCCTCTTTTTCATTCCTCTTTTAATTCTCTTTTTCTTATCCCAATTTTCATTCTCTTTTTTATTCTCCTTTTCATCCTCCTTTTCATTCTCTTTTTCATTCGCCTTTTCCTCCTCCATTTCATTCTTTTTTTTCATCCTTCCTTTCATTCTCGCAGACGTCATTGACGAACGGCTGATGACTTTGAAAACCCACACATATAAAAACGATGAAAAAATAAAAACACTTTTCATTGTTTCGATGTACAAATAGGATTAATGTTCCCACCCCTCTTCACAGGGGTGAATGGGGCCTGTCATCCATTGACCTTAAAAAGGGTGGGTCAGGGACACTGTCTGAAGCGTCTCAAAAGGAAATTGCTGCGGAAGACTGAGCAATTTTTGCTACAAATGTACGTGTGGGAATCTCACTTTAAACACAGCCTTGTGCCATGTTCCTTTCGAGTGGGAGTGTGGGTGAATAGCATTTCTATTATTTGGCTTAAAATAAATGGATGATTACGCATTCAAGGAGAGAGAATAGAATGAAAAATCATTGCTTCCAGAGGTAAAAAAAAAAAAAGCTAGGACCTTTCGCCAATTAAAATATAAACGCCGACCCTTTTTCTTATAAATAGTTATTTATCATTGAAATAAAACGCAGAGTTTTATTTGAAGCATAAAGGCACTGGGTAATAATTCTATTACTGTATATCTAATTGTATTGTGTACATTTACTTATATACGTATATAATCGTATATCATGTGATTTTCGAAAACCTAATTTTGAAGCTAATTTTAAGGAGTTTGCATCGTACACGAGATATATAATACGCGAAATGACCGTCAGTTTATACCCCAATTTTATATCTTTTGTATGCTGCGAACTCCTTAAAATTAGCTTCAGAATTAAGTGTTCGAAAGTAGCATGATACTCGTATATATATGGTATGCCAAATTCTAGCGTCTATTGGAAATAAAAGAAGCAGACAGCATTAAATAAGGTACCTTTCTTCATAGGAGACCGTATATTTAAGTGCGAAAAACAAACAGAAAAAGAAAACGCAAACATATACAAACTTTCATATGGGGATTTTCTAAGCGCATCTTAGATATGGCACAAGGCCAGGGACCGAACTTCCTACCCAGTCGTAATTGATCTAGCAAGAGAAGCTTGCTAACCATTACACCACGTCGAAGAGCACAAAATGATTTTCTATTCGTAGATTAGCTATGGCACACGGTCGAGTGAGCGGAGCACCCAGTGAGGACCGAACTCACTATTATGATTGTAACTGATCTAGCAAGACAAGCATAGCAGAAAAAATACAATGTCATATCAAGTATGAAAACAACTACAAATTCACGAAGACTTTATCAGAAAAGGCAAAAATCAATAAAATTATATTAAATTTAAGAATAAATGTACTGAATATAATTCCTGACAAAAATAATAATCAATGATGTTGTAGTCTGGGAAGTTAGGTGGCCAGATGTAAAGAGCGATCCGGTCACAGAAATTGTCTGACAGCCATGAATGTGTTCTTCTTGTGTGGCATGGTGCAGATCCTGTTGCCAGACATAGGGTCTTCCAGCATTGGGCT